ATTATATGATTTCTGGCCGGCGCCACACGGCTTGTGGGATCGTAGCTCCCCGACCGGGCCCTCAGCAGTGAAAGCACAGACTCCTAACCACTGGACCGCCAGGGAATTCCCTAGGAATCATTGTTGATACACATCTATTTATTTCTCCCACATCCTTCATGTGATCTGTCAGCAAATCCCGTGAGCAGTTCTCTCAACACACATCCAGAAGCTGATCACTGCTCACCCACCTCCACCTCCCATCCTAGCTCAAGCCATCATTATTTTCACCCGCATTTCTGCAACAGCTTCCCCACTGGTCTCTCCCTGCCTCCCCTTCTGCTTCAGTCCATCCCCAACACAGAAGCCACAATAAACTGTTGAAACAAAAGTCAGATCGCCTCACTCCTCTGCTCAAAGCCCTCTATAGGATGGAATATTATTCAATCATGAGAAAGAGGAAATCCTGCCATTTGTGACAACATGGATGGAACTTGAGGGCCTTGTGCTAAGTGAAATAAGCCAGACAGAGGAAGATAAACACTGTATGATGTGCATGTGGAATCCGAAAAAAGCTCAACGCGTAGAAACAATGTGGATGGTGGCTGCCAGGGGCTGGAGTGTTGGGAGATGCTGGTCAAAGGGTACAAACTTCCAGCTACAAGATGAGTAAGTTCTGGGGATCTAATGTCCAGCATGGTGACTATAGTTAACAATACTGTATTTTATACTTAGCAAGGCAAATAGATATCCTAACTGTTCTCACCACACGCAAAAATAATTACATGAGAGATGGAAGTGTTAAATAATCCTAGTGTGATAAGTGTATCAAATCATCATGATGTACTTACACGTTATATGTCAATTACAGCTCAATAAAGCTGGGGGAAAAAACCCCTCTAGAGGCTGTCCACCTTACTCAGAGTAAAAAAAAAAAGACTTGGAGAAAAAGATACTAAGCGAAAAACTTAACAGATGGCATTTGTCAGCATGTAGTGGGAGTGAAGTTTTTCTCTTAGCAGATGGATGGCCATTCTTGTAACCACACCATGATTTCTCCGTTATCATGAGATTTTAAATAAATAGCATCCACCAATTAAAAATTTTATCTTTGAGCAGTCCCTGGAAGGTGAGGAATATTTAGTGTATTCCGCATTTATCGAATGAAACGGCCAACTGACAAATCCTAGATTTAGTAATCTTCAGAGAAATAGGACAGGAAAAGGAGGAAAAGTTTTCACTTTTTTTTTTTTTTTTTTTTTTGGTCAATGCCATCAGCTTTTAGTTTTTATTTATTTATTTATTTATTTTGCGGTATGCGGGCCTCTCACTGTTGTGGCCTCTCCCG